ACCAGATAAATTAGGGAGTGAAAGGATCTTGTCTTTTTGTTTATAAGGTTAGTGGAGAGGGATATTGAAACAGATGGGAGACTACAGAAAACCAGTGTCTCTTCTCCCTACAAACATCCATTCGTCTACCCATGTGTGTGTTACATCCATTCATCCATCTATGTACAATCCTATTACATCCATCCACGCAGGAATCCATGCATCCATGTACCCAGCCATTCATTCATCTATGAGTCTATCCATTCACCCCTGTGTGCACACATCCATTCACCCATGCATGCATCTCTCCATCCATCTATCCATGCATCCACCTGTCCATTGTATTCATGCACCTATGCATCCACCAAATACTTGCTCAGCACCTCTGTGGTACTAGGCATTACATGAAATACTTTTCGTTTAACCTTAACAGTCACTCTCCAGAATGGACATCATCCTCATTTACACACTAGGAAGCTGAGACCCTGTGAATTCAAGTAGGTTGATGAACACTGCACATCCAGCTGAGATGCAACTCTTCCTGCTGTTAGTGTGCGAGCAGAAGGCAGCATTTGGTTTTAGCAGTGCCTGGATCTGAGTGTGTCATCAGATGCATGGACATGCAAAGATTTCAGAACACTGAGGTTCTACAGTTCTATCTTTGGAGCATCATCCTGGAGCCAGAGAACATTGCCGGACTTCACGTCATATAGGGATTTGTCACAGCAACCAAATGTTGCTGATATCACCTCCACTGCGGAGGTTTCTTCTCCATGCAGCTTGTCACACTGCCAGTGCTGGTTCCTTTGTCTGTGCTTTATCAACTCTGATTTTGAGAGCACACAGAGGTAAACTTTCAGAGACTCAGCCATATTCTCTTGGGCAGCCACAGTCTGGAACTGGCCCTTCAGAAATAGGGACCATTTCCACAGGTCCACATTTGGCTGCTGTGCCCTAGTTCAACCAGTCTCCTCCAAGGCCTGAATCTTACCAGTCTGCAGTCAGCTTTCCTGCAGGGTAGGTCAGCTTATTAGTGTTATGGTTGTTTGTTTGTTTAACAGATTTGGAAATAGACAGAGGTCTTCCATGCTCTGGTTCACTCCCCAGATGGCTGTAATGGCCAGGGCCAGATCAGTCTAAAGCCCAGGGACAAGGGCTTATTCTGGTCTCCCATATGGATGCAGGGGACGGGGACTTGGGCCATCTTCTGCTATTTTCCCTGGAGCATTAGCAGGAAGCCAGATCAGAAGTAGAGCAGGGCTCTTCGCAGTAGCCTAGCAGCTGAAGTCCTCACCTTGCACACTTTGGGATCCCATATTGGCACTGGTTCTAATCCCAGCAGCCCTGCTTCCCATCCCAGCAGCCCTGATTCCCATCCAGCTCCCTGCTTGTGGCCTGGGAAAGCAGTCGAGGATGGCCCAAAGCCTTGGGACTCTATACCCGCGCGGGAGACCTGGAAGAAGCTCTTGGCTCCTGGCTTCAGATCAGCTCAGCTCCGGCCATTGCGGCTGCATGGGGAGTGAATCAATGGACGGAAGATCTTCCTCTCTGTTTCTTCTCCTCTTTGTATTTCTGACTTTACAATAAAGTGAGTAAAAATCTTTTTTAAAAAAGTAGAGCAGGGCCTGGCACGGTAGCCTAGGTGCAAGTCCTCGCCTTGCACATGCCAGGATCCCAAATGGGCTCCGATTCTAATCCCAGCAGCCCTGCTTTCCCATCCAGCTCCCTGCTTGTGGCCTGGGAAAGCAGTCGAGGAAAGCCCAAAGCCTTGGGACGCTGCACCTGCTGGGAGACCCGGAAGAAGCTCCTGGCTCCTGGCTTTGTATTGGCGTAGCCCCAGCTGTTGCTGCCGCTTGGGCAGTAAACCATCAGACAGAAAATCTTCCTCTCTGTCTCTCCCCCTCTCTCTGCCTTTCCAATAAAAAAAAATATATTTTTAAAAAAAGAAGTAGAGCAGGGCCCGGCAGTGTGGCCTAGTGGCTAAAGTCCTCACCTTGAACGTGCTGGGATCCCATATGGGCGCCGGTTCTAATCCCGGCAGCTCCACTTCCCATCCAGCTCCCTGCTTGTGGCCTGGGAAAGCAGTTGAGGACGGCCCAAAGCCGTGTGGGAGACCCGGAAGAAGTTCCTGGATCCTGGCTCTGGATCCTAGCTTCGCATCGGCCGTTGTGCTCACTTGGGGAGTGAATCATCGGACAGAAGATCTTCCTCTCTGTCTCTCCTCCTCTCTGTATATCTGACTTTCCAATAAATAAATAAATCTTTAAAAAAAAAAAAAAAGAAGAAGTAGAGCAGCTGGGGCTTGAACTGGCAACCATATGGGATGCTGGCCTTGAAGGAGATGGCTTTACCCACTGGCTGCACCACGTGCCAGCCCCTGGCTTTTTTCCCCTAAACTCTGAAGTTAGTTGTTCATTTTCATACCTCCTTGGAAAGGGTATGGGTTCAAAGACTCGGGGGAGAGTCCCACAGCAGCAGTGCAGGACTTGTGGGATGGAGAAAGGAAGGAAGCTGACAGTGTGGGCCTCTTTGGTTCCATCTCTCTGGGAATCATGGTTATCCAGTGGGGCTGGAGTCTTTGGTTAGGGGTCCTGGGAAAGGAAGGGTGTGGACTCCCTTGGCTCTGGTGTAGGTGTAGGTGGCACTCAGGAGGGCTGGTTCCGGACTGTGGGTGCCCAGGGGAATATGCCTGGGGCCTTGACAGCTTTGGCCTCATTAGCCAAGGCCTGACCTGGTGGTGTGCCAGGCAGGCCCTCTTGCCATAGTCTCCTTCCTGTCTTTGTCCAGTGGCTTGTCCAGGAAGACCCTTCCCACGGGAGCCTGTCCCCAGTGCCCCCTTCAGTGGGTTCAGCAAACACTCAAGGAGCTCTGAGGAGGTGCTATGCAGAGAGCAGAAGCTGGGCTGGGGTGGGGGAGGGCTCTTTCTGGGGCATGAATGAAGCTCTTCTCAAGCTAGAAGTTGGCTGGCCCTTGGCAGCTAGCATGGTTAGTTCCTGCAGGCAGCACCTCCATGACTCCACACTCTCCCAGGCAAGCTGGGTGCTGGTGGCACAGGGCCTGGCACTGTCACCCAGTCCCCTCCCACCTCGAGCATCCTGAGACTGTGATTGCCGTGGTTTTCTGACTTCCTTTTTCTTTCTCTCACTGCCCTGCCCATGGCTGCCATGTGGCTGCCTTTAGTCAGCTGGAAACTAGGCCTTCTAGTGCTTTCCTTCTGTGTCTCCAGCAGAAGATGATGTAATTTATGGGGCCCGAGAGGAGAGGACACCTTGGCCCTCCATTAAAGCCTGGATTCTGCTTGCTTCCATTCCCACACCTGTCGGCTTCATCCCACTGCAGCTCTCATCCCTAAGGGGACAAGGGAATAAGATGAGGTAAATGAAGGAAGTGGTGTAGGTAAGACCTCTGGGGTAGGGACAGGTGTAGTCCCACTGGGAAGTGACGGGGCTGTGGGCAGGTGTACGGAATCCGCAGTCCCTGAGATTCTGCACCCACAGCCCCTCCCCAGCGCAGCTTTGGTCATGATGAGCTTAATGGCAGAGGCAGGGGTGTGTCCACCTGAGCTGGCCACACTCATTACCTCTGACACTCTATTTCCTGGGGGGGGGGGGTGGGGAGGGCGGTGATGGCATCCATTCCTGCCAATTGGCAGAGCTGGGGTATCAGAAAGAACATTTCTGCTGTCTCCCCTGACCCCACATGGGCAGGTGTATGGGTCTGTGGCTGGGGGTGTGGCAAGGAAGAACAGAGAAGGTTTGGGAGGAGTTGAGATGTGGGGAAAATGGTGGGACTTTCAGTTCAGATCTCAGGTTTGGCCTTAAGCGTCTTTGATCCAGTCCTGCAGCTGCTGGCCAAACCTGACCCTGTGGAGAAGGTGGAGCAGCTCCAAGCCAGGCAGATAAGAGGGGTGGGAGATAAGCAAGGGAGAGCAGGGTTTACTGACCTCCGTCCCCACCTGACGCACAGTCCTGAGCACTCTGTCCTGCTGAGGCAAGAGGCTTCTTGGGGGTGTTGGAGGCCCCGGGGGGGGGGGGGGGAGAAAAAAAGGTGGCTGTGTCTGTGTGAGTTTTGCAATAAAGCCTTCATGTTGCTCCAATACCTGTGTGTGGCCTCGAGAGGTGGGGCAGGTGGGAGGTTGGAATGTGGCTGTAGGCGGTCATTTCTCCTCTATGGGCCCAGGGAAGGTGGCGTGCTGGGCAGGTTTCTTCTGGCTTCCCAGGAGGAGAGGTGGAGCTGCTTCAGTTGAAACCTGGGCCTAGGGCAGCAGCCTTCACTGGGGAGCCCTGGGGCCGTTAGGGGAAGGCTAGGCTCTGGGAGAAGGAGCCCAGGATTTTCTGTTTTGACTTCCCTAGGCCGAGCTCCTGCACTGAACAGAGGAGGAGGCCCGTTGGGACAGGTGCATGGAGTGAGGGGACAGCAGTCCCTGGGCCACTGCCCGCGCTGGCCACCCGGCCTCCCCCGCCAGGCGTGAGTCAGATCGAAAGCAGAAGCTGCCAGACACCGCGGAGAGTGAAGCGAGGCAGAACCAACTGTGCTATTTTGGAAGCCGGTTAATTCCCCCTCGCGCCGCCCCGCCTCCCTCTCTCTCTGGGCTCTCATCCTCCTCCTAGCACTTTGGCCTCCTCAGGGAGCAGTTAGGACAGGGCTGGAGTTCCCTGATGTGTGTCTCTGTGTGTAGGGGGTTGATGGGAGAGGGCAGAAAGCCGGTTACCAGCTCTTCCCTTTGCCAATCCCCCACCCCTCCAATTCTGGTGGGGAGAGGGGAGGAGCTGGCGTCTCCCAGCGCCCGTGGGTGTTGGAGGCCAGAGCGCCCCCTCTCGGCGGCGCCCGTGGGTAGGGCGGCCCCGGTGAGCGGCCAGGTCACCGGCTCTCAACCCTGCCCTGTGGCCCTGGCGCCGCCCTCCCCGCCTGTCTTTCGCCACCATCGGGGCCAGCTGTCAGCTGCCTCTCCCAGGGTCGTGAGTGACGAGCACCTCAGGTGGGAGCCTCTCCCGGCAGTGAACCTCAGCGGCCTGGGAGGGATTTCCGGGCCCTGAGGAGAGATATTTTGGGGCTGTGGGCCTTTGCAGAACCTGTGAAATCGCTCACCCCGCAGTAGACCTGACCAATCCCCTTAAGCCATCAGCTCACTCATTGGACATCCTAGGCCTGCTTGGAGTTCTGTTCCTCCCGTCCACCCTTTTGGGTTTCTTTGGAGCCCAGGCGAGCCTGGGGGTCCCTGCCGTCCAGCCTGCAGTGGAGAAAGAGGTCAGTGGGGTGTGTGTCGTCTGAGCTGAAGAGGAGGGCATGGGGGTGGAGAGGATTCCTTGTCCTTTTTGGAACCGTGGGCCAGGGGCACGATGGGCTTGGCCCTTGTAGTGAGCGCATGCAGGGGCGATGGGAAAACCTCTGCTTCATGTGGCTGCCTCCTGGGTGGGGTGCCTGGGGTCAGAGCTGTACAGTTCACCACCCCTAGCGCATGTGCAATGTTGCTCACCCAGGTTGGTGGGAGCGGGGGCGGGGGGATGGTCAGCAGGCAGGGGACCAAATGACATCTCGATCCTTACAGGTCTCAGGTGAGCAGGACTTGGGTTTCTGGCTGCTCAGATGGAATTAGGGGTTCAGGCAGGTGGGGGAGGGGCAAGGAAGAGCAGGCTCCTAAGCCTGCTGCAGGGTGCTCCCGCACCCCCAGTCTGGCTGCAGAACCCACAGGCAGGCACATGCCAGGGGTACTGTGTCCTCAGGTGCTCTGCCAGCCCTATGGCGGGCAGCCCTATGGCGGTGTGTGTGTGTGTGTACAAGAATGGAAGTGTAGCTGTGTGTCTCACAGGGCCCGTCTGGGTTGGGTTTCCACTGGTAACCACATCAACTTCTCGGCTGTTTTCCCACAGACCATGACTATCTCCTGCAGAGCCCAAACACGCGGTGAGCCCACTGAGTGGGCACAGAGCTGGCTCACAGCCTTGTGTTCTGGCACCCGCTTGGGGTCCTGGGCTTGGGAGTCAGGGCTTTTGCCTCAAGTTCATTGTGGGACTCAGACATCCCTGCTTGTCCTTTAAAGTGTCTCTCTCTAGACTGCCCTGCACCTGTCTGCTATCTCCTCACCCACACCTCTCATCACCAGTTTTCGTACTTGGAACCCACCTGGCAAGGTCTTCAGGAGGACCAAGTCAAGTTTCTTTAAAGTGACCACAAATCTTGCAGGGTAACTTGCTAAGAGGTGCAGGTTGTTAGTTTCAGATTTATTTATTTGAAAGGGAGAGTGTGTGTATGTGTGAGAGAGAGAGAGAAGAGATCTATCTACTGGTTCATTCCCCAGATGGCAGTAAAGGCTAGGGCTGGACCAGGCTGAAGCCGGGAGCCAGGAGCTTCATCCAGATCTGTTACGTGGGTGCCCAAGCACTGGGGCCATCTTCTGCTCCCTTCCCAGACTCATTAGCAGGGTGCTGGATTTGATGTGAGGCAGTGCTGGGACATAGACTGGCATATATCATCATACAGCAGCTTAACCCACCGTATCACCACACTGGCCCCAAGGTGCTGATTCTGACTCAGTGATCTGGACAGGGGCCACAGAGGCTGCTTTTTCAACCAGCAGTTAAGGGGTATGATGCCCTCTCAAAGTCCCATCAGGTAGATGGGGGTTGTGCAGGCATGGATCTGACACTCTCAGACCACTCCCTCGGGGCCAGCACATTTCAGCTCCTTGCCAGCCTGCTTTACAATTGGGGAAACTGAGGCTGCATGCTCTAGTGGGTGGCAAAGGCAGATTGGAACTCTGGTCTGTGGGGTCCCAGGCATGTTTCTGGTCCTCTAAACCCAGCTGTTTTCTAGATGAAGGCATCAGGAAGCTGCATGGGTTGGCCCTGGGTAGAGGGGCAGCTTAAGGCAGCAGCATAGCTCTGGAGGAGGTAGTTCCAAAAGGGCTTGTATCCTGCTCCGGCCAGCTTGGCCAGGTCTCCCCGCTCCCCCTGGCCAGCTCAGTCAAGCCTCCCCACCTCCCCTTGGCTACCACCACATATACAAGCACTGGGCTTAAGATCCCCTCATTCCTTAGTCCTTTCTGCAAATGCTGAACTCACTGGGGTATCCACCAGTTCCTGAGTATCCAGGCAGTGGCTGGGTCTGGGGACCAGGTGCCCCTGCTCTCTGTCTTCCAGCTGTGCAGCTGTTGGCAGGTGTTTGGCCTCTCTGCCTCAGTTGCTCCTTTGTGAAATGGAGATGATCAGTGACTCCATCGATGGGTGAGGCTGCTTTGAAGAGTAAGTTGGTGATGGATCTGAATGGGCTGGACAAACTGCCTGGGGCATGGTGCATGCCCAGTGTGTGCAGTCCTTGACAGCTGTTGGGAGGTACCTCGAGACCATAGCCCACCCCTTGTTGAGCTTGTAGTGTCCCCTCCTTCCTGCTTATTTCCTCCTCCTCAGGAAGGCTGACAGTCAGACCCAAAGCCAAGTAGTTGTACTTGGCAGTAGATCAGATCCCACGGAGAGCAGAGGCCAAGTGGGCATGAGGGCTACAAGTGATGAAGGTAAAAAAGACCCCGGAACAGGGCCAGGCACCAGGCACAGGTGGGGATCAGAGTGCTCGGTAGGTACCAGGCCTGGGGCAGGGTGCCAGGCTGGGGTGGCTTGGGGGCCAGCACAGAAGTACGAATCAGCAGTCCAGACCTGCAGCAGGGTTTGAAGCAAGGCACTATGACAGAATGCCAGAAGGGGCTCCAGGCTGTGTGCTGCTCTGTGCACCTGTGTACCTGCCTCCTTTCTCACTGGGACAAGAAGCCTTCCTCACCCTGTGCAGGTGCAGAAGAGGCTGGGATGCAGGCTCCTCCTCCCGGGAAGATGAAAGGCAAAGGCTAGATCCTACCAGTAGCTAGTTTTTCTTCAGCGGACCTCTCTCAATTGTCCTTTCCTGGCCCCGCAGACTGAGCTCCCAAGGACTGAAGCACGCACATGCATCTGTACCAGCAGGGCTCTCAGCACATAAGTGTATATGGAGGAGTTAGAAAACCTTCAAGATGTGCCATGCAGCCCTGCATGTGAGCCGCCATGGACCCAACACCCAGCGAAGGGCAAGAGAGCTGCTGGGAGCAGGTGTGGCGTGATCAGGCTCTTGTGCTGAGCCCGTGGGGCTATGGTACCCCTGCAGGAGGACTTACTGCAGTCTAAGTTATTGGACCCTCCCCCCACACACGATCTCTGGTGACACCAGGCTGCCTTGTCCTCCCTGGGGAGGGCTTTAGGGATAAGTGGACTGACTGCCACTCAGGACAACTGGGGTGTGCTTCCGCTCCCCTGCTGGGAGCAGGCGCACTGTGAGGCTCTGTGCAGGAGCTCTGAGTGCACTGGCTCCCTGATCCTCCCTGTACCACCCGCATGCACAGCACGCTGGTCCCATGCCAGGGATCTGATCCATTTTATCACATTTCTGTCTGGTAGGCCTGATCTAACTGTCCCCTGGGCCCTCTTGTGGCCCATGTGCACCGCCTCACTGAAACCCAGATATACAAGAGTTGTTCCTGAAGCTTGTGGTTGTGGATATCTTGGTGGAGGCTAAACGACCTATGCAAGGAGCCTGCTGACACCCCGGAGGTGTCAGGGAGTGCTGAGGACTGCACAGGCTTCATGAACAAGGGCATGGGGTGGGAGTGAATAGGGCTGGGAGGGTAGAGAACATTATCCCATCTGCATGGGGGCAGAGGTGGCTTTCCTTGAAGGGCCCTGACTTTCTCAGTTTTGCCAAAGCTGCAGGTCATGCACCTGAGTGCTTAGGCCAAGTCCCTGCTTCCACGTGTTCTTGCAGTGTGACCCTTTTAAGTCTTGGTTTCCCCATCTGCTGGTGTTGCTGTTTTCCTGGGTGCTGCCCGCGGAGGCTGGGTTAGGGAAGATGCCTGGTGTGCAGTGGGACTAGTGGGTGTTTGCTGCACACAAGAAGCCATGCTGAGTCAGAATATGTTGCAGCACTGGACAGGCAGGCCCTGGGGGCCCTGCGTATCTGTGTTCTGAATCTGGTAGGTACAATGGGATGGGGGCTCTGAGAGAAGATAGGTGGCGTCTCTGGATGCTTCCTGGTTGCTAGGAGACCGGGAGCTGATGAAGAAACAATTAGGGAAAAAGAGTGGACACAGGCAGGGTGCCTAGTGGGTGGAGTGGCCATGGTGAAGTGTAAGGGGAAAGAGGAGGGGGATTTCACATTCTTGCCCTGGTACAGCCGAGGAGTGAGGTGGCTGCCTTCTGGGATGTGTGTATGTGTACACAAGCGTGCTCGCATGTGCTCTTGCACGTGTGTGAGACACACACACAGAAGCAGAGACATGCGCGGAGGCTGGGCTGTGTCTGCATGTCCCTGCGCTAGGCTGCCTCAGGGACGTTCTGGTTTCTCTTCATGCTGCTCTCAGTTCTGCATGCCCTTCTCCTCATCCTGCCACTCCCAGGGCCAGTCCTCCTGGAGCAAACCCATGCCAGGGTTCAGCCTGTCCCGTGGGAAGCACAGGGTGCCTCTGCTGGCTTGGGGCTGCCTTTGAAGCGGCTCTGCGTGCTGCCCTGGGCCAGTAGGCCGCCGGCTGGGAGGCGCCGCGACCGCCCTTTCCTGTGGGATGTGAGCCTGGACTTGGCCACTGGGCCTGGGATGTGGGAACTGGACGTTGCTCCACTGGCCAGGAGCTGGGGGCAGGTGTCCTCTCTTCCTCCCTCTTTTCCTCTCCCTCTCCCTCCCACTCAGAGACTTCAAAGCAAGCCCCTGAGTCTCTCCCCTGCAGCCCCCTGCAGGGGCCCTTTGCGGTGTTTCTGGGAGAGGTGTGAACTCTGGGAAGCCAGCTCTGGGTTTGAGTCTTGCCCTGGTGCCACGCAGGTACCTTGTGCCGGTGCCTTGGTGGAACCTTGGCTTCCTCGTGGGAGTCCCTGGTTCCTTTCCAATCCACTTTCAACACATACAGAGGGTCTGGCCTGTGCTGGGGTCATGCGATCCCACTAGACATCAGTTATGTCACGTGACAGATGCAGATGGCCACACCCTCCCTGCGGGGCAGGGTCCCGGGCTCTTGCCTTTGAAGTCGGCTATGATGACACACAGGCGTACACCTGTGCACATTCACTGGGCCTCACACCTCAAAGCTATGAGGTTTTCTGGAATAATTAACATCCCTACACGGAGTGAGGAGAGCAGAGCAGTGAATTAAACATGTTCAAAGCAGGTGCTTCTGACCTTACATCCGTTTCTGGGACCCAGGGCTTTCCAGTCAAACAGCACACACTTCCTGAAGCGTGGGG